CTTAAAGAAATATACTGATGACTTTATTCTTTGGTTATACTTTCCTTTTGGGTGTTTAAGACAATACAGTTGGCCCAAATAAATCAATTTATTTTTACACTTAAAGTGGTTTGAGGATGATCGGTCCCTCAGGGGTTGCATGGCCTTGGGAGGAGCTCCTGGCTCCTTTCTTGTACCAGTTCCATCTATGTAAAGATAAGTCAAAGGTCCTGCTCAACCATGGCTGGCTTCACCTGGAAGCAGGAATGAGATGTTTCCTCTGAGCTGACCCTCCTCTTTGTAGACTGGACACTGGTTCAAGTCTATCTCATGTGGTCTCCATGGCCTCCCTGAACAAGAGGACAGGTGACTCACCACAGTTACAGGATATTTTGAGACATGTTCTACAGTCCCCTGAAACTTAGTCGACCTCAGAGGGCAAGGGGCAAAAACTGTCCTTTAAATCCCTCTGACCACATTAGTATAGGCCTCAAACTATGGCTGTTAAACATCCAATAAGGTTAGTTCCACCAGTCTGGTACTTTTAATTACCATGTGCTATGTACATAAAGCCTGGGTAAAAAAACCAAATGTTCTCAGGTAAACCTTAATCAGATATATATTTTGTTCCTTAAACTAGTTGACTAAACGATGACCTTAGAAATTTTAAGATTATGTGTACATTATTTTTGTCTCGTCCTTTATATATCATAATAAACCTACACAGACCTTCATCACTTGCTTTGGCTTTCTCGTTTTTTTGTATTTGGAAAATATCTCCATTCCCATATCCTTTTAACATCTTTTGGATGCTAAGCAATGCTTATTCCCTTTTAGGGTTCTAGTGTCAAGCCCATGTTTGATTAAAGTTTTATTGGGGATCCAAAGAATTTTCTGAGCTTACTTACCGAGATAACTGAGGGGTTGCTAAGGTGTATGTATGACCTGAAGGTATGCACACTGGAAAGCGTTTACTCAGCATGGGTCATGCCTTCTCTTCCTAGCCTTCCCCAGATTGTATACGTTAATACTGCAGTCCTGTAAGTTCAGTCAGGGTCTACCTCTGAGTCTCTGGTAACTGCAGAGAAAGGAGGCTGCCTGGTGCTTCAATTCACAGGTATGTATGATCTGAGCACACAAAGGACCATGAAGCAGCAGACTAGCACGCACTACATAAGTACATGTGCTTCACTGGATGCCCCTATATTCAGTGTCCTGTTAGCTAGGTAACCAATAGTCAATAAAAGACATAGCTATAGACTGGGGCCAAGGTTAGAAAGACTCAAGAGTAAATAGCAAAAGCTAAAAAACCAAAATCTTCTAATTGCAACTTCATCATCATCCAAGATGAACCCGGAACAACAATCGCAGTCAAATTTTAATACTGACATTATAAAAAAAATTACAAATTTTTCTTGAGATGTATGCCTTGGCTATGCAAATTAATCCGTTGTGTTTATTACTAATATTTCAGTGAAAAGTGATCTGATCGATGAACATGACTATCAATATAAATGCTAAGAGCATCTTGAAAAATAAACAAAAGTGATGGAACAATCTGAGTTTAGGAAACATTAAAATAAGTAGCAACAAGTAACTCATCTCAGGCAAAAAAACTAGAATATGTCATTACTGTTTACGTGGCGGTTGTTCAAGGACTCCTCCCACAGAGGTCCCCAGGTGCTCAGTCACATGTATAAAATAGCATAGTGTTTGCATATAACCTCCATAGGGCCAGCTCCCGTACTTGGGCCATCTCTAGATTACTTACACCTGATGAAATGGAAATGCTACACATGCAGCCATTATGCTGTATTGTTTAGGGAATGATGAGAGACAATCTACACTGCTCAGTACAAACGCCTCTGAAAACACATTTTTGATCCAGAATTGGTTAAATTCATGGATGATAATCCCCTAAGTAAAAATGGCTGACTGAATCAAAGTTAAGTGAAACAAGGTATAGGGATGCACAACTTACAATCCCTGTATTCCAGAGGCTGAGGCACAAGAACCTTAAGTTCTTGGCCAGTCTGGGCTATGTAGTAAGACTGTGTCTCAAAACAATAAGAAAAGTATCTGAAAAGATCAGAATTAGCACCTTGTTTTAAATTTTGGATTTCTATTTTATGTCCTAGGCTCTCAGTTAGTTTCCTTCTTCATTTTTATGTTCCAAACCAACTTCATTTGAGACATTGTGAACTCAATTCCTGAAACATACAAGTCAAATTTAACATCATTCCTCCAGTATGAGTCCAATCAGCATCTGGACATAAGCTGTCATTTACTACTACCATATATATAAATATACTGAGCATGATTCATCTGTATTATGTATGTGCAAATCATCCTAAAATTCAGAAATCATCTATAACCTACTAATGATCTGAAATATTAATACATATTAATTTTAATATATAATTCTAGTCACAAAAGTACTCATACACAGACCAAATTTCTAATTCTTAACTAAAATGGTAGGTCAGCATAACACTGAATTATATAAATAAAGTGTATAAAATATGGGCCAGTGAGATGTCTCAGGAGGTGAAGGCACTTGCTGGTAAGCCCCACCACCTTAGTTCAGCCCTTGGACCAAAGCAGTGTTAGGACAGAAGCAACTCCCCCAACTTTCTGACTGCCACATGCATACACACATGCACACGAAACAAGTATGTATCATACTCATTATATGCCATGACTAAAGGATTAATTTCATGCAATAAAATAGTAACCTGTGTGTTCTCCTGAGTAGAATACAATTAGGAAAGCAAGACTCAAAGCAACTGAGGTGAATATTCTGATGAAATTACAGATGGACAGCAAGCTCTGTGGAAACAATGAAACCAAAGCTGGTTCAAGCACAGTGGCTTCTCATCAGGAGGAAAGCGTCCTCATCCTGGATATAGTATAACCTCAAAGAACACCCAAAAAGTCAGAATCTGTTCGTCTCAGTTGTCAAATCTTTTTAATGAGAAAAATGAAGTCCTGATGGTCTAAGGAAACTGAAATATGTTCACAGGTTACAATTCTATGAAAAAAAAAAAAATCTCAGCCAGCAACAAGCCATAAATCATGAATGAGGAGGATGGAGGAAATGCAGTACATTATTCACACCCTATATACGAACATCAATTTTTAATTCAATCAAATACAAAGAATGCAGAAAACCACCACTCATCACTTTTTCTGCAGAAACAGAACCTTCCCTTAGACTTGTGTAGTCTGGGCACTGAGTACAGAGGGCCCAAAATGTGACAAAAACTAAAAGCACTGGGAAGTAGAGGCAGGAAAATCAGACACTCAGGGTCATCCTCAGCTATATAGAGAGGTCAAGGCCAGCCTGGGCTACATGAAAACCTGCCTCAAGGGAAAAAAAAAACCAGTTCACAACAATGAAAGCAGAATCTTCATTTTCTACAACTGTTTGACTTCTTTTCTAGTCCTGCCCTATCCTTGGCAAGACCAGCTAGAAGGAAATTCCTCACTCTGCTTATGAACTGACTTTGGTCATTTCCAAAGCACTGTTTTCATGTGATATCAACTCATCCCAAGACAATCAGCCAGGAAGCAGAGTAAATGTACAGCCAATCTATTGGCTGTTTGCTTTGTTTCCCTACCATAAACAAAGTCTCTGAAGTTCACATCACACAAGGAGGCTTAAATAAAAGAATCCGTTTTCTTATTGCAAAGCAACCTCACTTGTTTCTCCAGCAGCACCCCAGTGAACAGGAAGAATGACCTGGTACTGGTGGTCGGTCCTACAGCGTGGTCAAGAAGTGCTCACAGCAAGCAACCAGTTCATTCTATCAGAACCTGAGGTTTACCAAGGTAAGCTGCTTGCCTCTTTTTGTACTTCTTGAACTTGTGCTTTTTGAGTCCAGTTTGATTCAAACCTTTAGACTTCTGCTGGAAATGGATCTAAGCTGTGCGATTTCTGTAGCACTACCTTGCATTGGAGGGAACTGGGAAATCCAGTGAGATGGAGGACCTGAATTAAGGACCACAGAGCTCTGACAACTAATGATGACTTGTGGATTAGAGCCGGTTGCCACTGGAATGGAATATAAAGGTCAGTACTTAACATGAAGTCAAGGGAACGCGCTCAGTTACAGCACAAAGAAAAGCCAATCTCAGAAAATCCAGGAGGAGTAAATGCAAAATTTAAATGGGAGCTCTTCGTGTCCATTCAAGAATAGCACCTGGGCAGGATCCTCAGGCACAGGAAAAAAAAAGCACTAAGAAAGTTAAAGGAGAGGCTGTGTCTCAGGGTAGAAGTCTTGCCTAGCGTGCAGGAAGCCCTGGGCTTGATCCTCAGCACCATGTAAACTGGACACGGTGCCTGTATTTGAAGCACCTGGCAGGTGGAGGCACGTGAGTTCGAGTTCATCCTCAGCTACATAGCAAGTTGAAGACAAATTTGGGATATAAGATCCTGAGGAAGGACAGAGGGGAGGGAGGGGGGAGGGAAGGAGGAAGGGAGAGAGAGGGGAATCGATCAAGGGATAAAGAGTTTAATTCAAATATAAATAATTGAAAGGTGATTAAAATGTGGAAAATAGCATTAATGGGATAAAGTGGCAAAACTATACAACTTAGTAAAAATGTTTTGAGGCATTTCCATTTTAAAAATCTGAGGGTTTTTTGTTTTTTTTTTTAACGCCTATAAGCATTTTAAATTACATCAATTCGAAAATCACTTTAGCCTAAATGTCATAACAGTAAAAGAAATCAAACAGGGCAGATGACAATTTATACCTAATTCTCCTTTTAAAATGCCACTTCATAAACTTTACTAAAATACAGCTAAATGCTCTGATTACTTTATTTACGTGTATGTATGTGTGTGTATAGGGACACACGTGGGAGTCAGAGGACAACTGGTGAGACTCAGTTCTCTTCTTCCATTGTGTGGGTGCAAGGGAAGAATCCAGGTCATCAGGCTTGGAGGCAAATCCCTCTATCTGCTGAGCAATCTCATCAGGTCCTAAAATGTATTTTACAAAGTAAAAACAAAAGACTGACACGACAAACTCCTATTTATTTTATTAAATACAGGCCTGAAATGTTAAGTAGATAGTATAGATTCTAAGAAACTATATTTTCCAACTTCAAAAATGTCTTATTGGTGCTTTGACAAATAAAATAATGCTCTAAAATTTTTTTTTTTTATTTTTTGGGGAAAAAAAAACCAATTTGAGAATACAAAGTAAGTAAATTACAAAGTGTATTCAGAATTGTTTCAAATCCCTAAAGCAGCTGTAAACAGTTTATTTCTAAATGTTGTAGCTTAAAGGAATGTGAGTATCACAGTTTGTAACAACTCTGTCTAGGAAGTCCAGCAACACTACACAGTAGTTTCGTGTTTCCATAATCCAGTCCTAAAGTTACCAGTGATATCAGTAGCTATCAAGGGTCCTTCCTGTCCACTGCTTTTAACTGATCCATTCTGAATGGCCAAGTTCAGGCCATAAGATTTCTGCTGACTTTCAAGTTCTCCTGCAGGTGGCTTCCTGACTACATCTTTTTTACTGCTAGTGGAAACAGGTTTTTCAAAATTGCGACTGCTTTTGGGAAGTGTGCTGCACGCATCACTGCTGTCTTGCTGGGGAGGGTTGTACTGTCTCTCTCTGTAGGCCAAATAAGCTCTCCGACTCCTCGAATGTCCTTCATTATTGCCGGGCCGGCTTTTAGGTAAGCCGTTCTGCACGCTTCCTTCCACGCTGGTCGGGACGTCGTAGGCGTATTCTCTCAGGACAGTGAGCCTGCTGGCCCGGTGTCCTTTACTTCGATTTTTATGGGGGCGGCTCGGGTGCACGTTTGTGCGAAACTGCACGTCTAAAGGAGCCACGTGCATCTTAATATCATTGTCCACTGAATGTTCGGTGAGGCTGTTATCCGGCTGAGGTGCGGGGCCGACAGGCAGGGCCCCGGCCTGGCACTGCGCTGCGGCAGCCTGCAGGTTTGTGAGCTTGCAGCCCTGGGAAGAATTCTTGAAGCTCGACGCACTTTTGTTTGTGCACGAAGACTCTGCGCTGCTGTTCGTGCACTTGGGCGCCTCTCCGTTCGTCCCGCTCGAATTGGGGGGCTGGACGTTGACCTGCACTGAATACGAGCTGCGTCCTGGGCAGCACGTCATGATCCACGCAAGTCTCACATCCTCCCTATTGACGCAATGGTGCACCATGAGGAACGCACTGAAGCTTAAACAAGTGGCTCCAAAAAAGAAGCTAAAAACCAAATCCAGAGGGTAGTACAGAGAAACGGCCATGGCCCCAAACATCCACAAGGCAACGAACAAGAGCAGAGTGAGGCTTGCGCCCAGGAGCTGGGAACGGAAAGTGTGCTCGTTCTCCAGGGTGGAAGTGGAGATCAGCGACAGGGACATGGAATCCTGGTGGCTCACTTCCCCGTTCTCAGTGGCCGCCAGCCGCTGCTGCTCCTCTGTGGGCTCCTTGAGCTCATACTTGCGCTCAGGGTGTCTTTTCAACTGAATAAATATGCTTAGGAAGTACATACAGTTTACGAAAGTGATGAAGCTGGCAGGTCCGTAGAAGGCTCCCAGGGATGGTTCCCAGGCCATCCAGCAACTAGGAGAAAGCAGCAGAAACCAGCTTAGGTGCCAGTGTTTCAGCAAACCATTTAAGACACTGCAATACACTGTGGTGCCTACAAAAGGCTTGAAAGAGAAGCAGCGGATGAGGGGCTCCGAGAAGACACAATACTCACTAGGGCGCACTCGGCCGACTGCCGTAGTTCTTGATGTTTGCAGCCGCAGTTATGCCACACACGATGATGGGAATCCCACCGCCAATCAGGTAGAACCTAGGAGAGATAAGGCCTGTTACCCCTTTGTAAGAGTACTTCTCACAATGTCTCAGTGCCTTAGAAGTCATTCTCTGAATACTAATTATTACTCTCATTGCACTAATACACTGGGCCTTAAGTTTCAGCGACTGCTTTTTTAAGTAGAACCATGCAGCTTTTGTTCTGCACTGGTCTTTGGATTTCTTTTTCAAATGTTGGGCCCAGAAGTCTCTGGGCTGAAGAACGCTGGTCAGCTGCTGCCACCGTGTGGACACAGTGAGAACAGGCGGAGGCAGGCAGGGCTTGCGCTGAGGGCTTTCAGAGGCACTTCCTTTAGATTCAGCTGCTGAACCAGAAAGTCAAGCCTATCACAGAAGAGCTTGTAAGAAAGAGCTTGCTGTGCCAAGGTTCACATACCCACACGATGCAGTGATGTATTAGTGACTGCTTCATGCTCAGCTAGGCCTGCACCCTGTGGGACCTCCACTGTGAACTAAGAGTAGGGAGGGTATCAAGACCGAAGAGCTTCCAGAGCACAAAAAGGCCTTCCATGAACTTAATCATCAATGATTTACTCATCTAGCACCATCAATCCCTTTACAATTCTTTTTATTATAATGGGTAGGAAGGACATAACTTGAAGCACATTTTATTTTTTGCAAGAGAATAAACTCTTGAGATTGTAACCTACAACACATGACCTCAAAAAATAAAAGCTAACATTTCACAGAGCCTACAAGAGAGCTAGGCATCCGTCACTGTTCTGCATGTAACCTGCTCCTGCCTCCAGCACACCAGCCCACTTTGGCCTGAGCTCCAGGAACACAGCACAGACACAGAGACTGATGACTGGGAGCTGGGAGGGCATGAAAACTGAATTTAGAACCAGGCAATCCCACTTACAAACAAGTCCATTCTTTTACTTCCCAAAATCCATATCAATTTTTTAAAATTTTATTTATTATTTTTATTTTACGTGTATGCCTGTATTGCCTGCATATAGGTAACTGCACCCATGTTGTGCAATGCCCATGGAGGACAGAAGAGGCTGTCGGAGCCCCTGGGACTGGAGTTACAGATAGCTGTTAGCTGCCATGTGGGTGCTGGGATTCGAACCCGGTCTTCTGCAAGAACAACCAATGTTCTTGACTGCTGAGCCATCTCTCCAGCCCCCCATATCAATTCTTTTTATTACACCTTATGACCGTTCTTCCACTAAAGCAAACAAAACACTGAATGAACACTTGTAATCCAACAAAGGTGTGAGATACCTGAGCATCGGCCTTGGCGGAGGGGGTGGCTCATCCGGATCCTGGCATCTCTTAGCCTTTTTAGTGACTTGTTTATAAATATTTCTAGCAGTAACTCCAACCCACAGTACTGTGGCAAGAGTAGAATAATGAAGAATGATCCCAACCTACAAGGAAGATGACATGAAAAGTAAAAGAAGTAACATTTCCACGGGGTTAGGAGGCATTGTGAAGGCCAGCAGTGATCACCTCCTTTGCCTGCTAATGAAATCAAGCAGTCTTAACCGAAGATCAGGGTTCCTCTGATTCATAGACTGCTAGCTGGATAGGAGGCCCACAGGCCGCCATGTGTGCTTAAGATGACACCCAGCACACCACACAACTGGGTCCAGAGCAACACAAAGTCAAAGAGTCACAGGTGCAATGTTGTCAATTAGAGCTCAGCTCCCAATGCCCGTTTTAAGCAGGCATACAGAAGGCAAGACTAGCAATAAACTCAACAGCAGAAGGTAAGGTCTTCAGTGTCCACCAGGCTCCGATCCGGTGATACAGTGCTGCCTTATACTGTAAGACAGTGACGTGGCGCAGTGATGGTCAAGTGGAGAAAGAAACTTTGCCTGGGTTTAAAACTCCATCCACCTCCTGCCCAATTGATGATTCAAATACAGTCACAAGCAGCAGTTTCCACATGGGAACCTTCGGAGGCTATGCAGTATGGGGCTAAACAGACTGTCTACACCAAACAGATAGCTGTAACGAGCAGTTACTAAAACTATCTGTAACAAGATATTAGGAGTGTCCTATTGAGGAATAATGTGACCACTCTACGTTTAAGTTTCTTCAATATAACAGTGAGGACTTTGCCAGCAGACACTGTCAGAGGTGTTGTGGGACTGAATGGGAACACTAGGTACTTAACAATGCCATTTGCAGTGTGTGTACATGACAGGGACTCAACCTATTTCCCAGTGATATCAGGAAGAATGCTGATCACATGACCTGTGCTTAAAGCAGCTCTAATTGAAGATGAAATTCTAGATGAGGGTAAAGAGGACATGAAAGACTTAGAGCATTCTTCATTTTTTTTAAAGGAAAATAAGTGCCATGTCTCGTTACAGCATCAAAGACATAATCTAGAATCTAGTTTTCTTTTATAGAGGTGAGGGTGAGACAAAGACTCGCTCTGTAGCCAGGAAGACCTGCAGCTCACTGTGCAACCCAGGCTGGACCTGCATTTATAGCAATTCTCGTGCCTAGGCCTCCAAAGTGCTAGAATTAGAGACATACCCTAACAGGCCCAGCTTTCCTAACTAATAACCTGCTACCTTTGTTGCTGTTTACCCCCAATTTCACTATGTAGTACAAGATGGCCTTGAACTTCTGATCCACCCTACTCTATCTCCTGAGTGCTGGGATTACAGGTATGTACCACCCTACCCAGTTTGATGTGGTGGTGGTGGGGGGGGTGTCGAACCCCTAATCAATACTTTTTCTGAGACAATTATTATAAGTAAAAATTCTAGCAATGAAATTGTCAGGAAAAAATTTCTCATTCTAAAAGGGTAGCTCCCCAATCTGAAGAAAAGCAAGCTGACACTACCAGATCCAGGTCAGTAACAACTGCTGGCATCCTCGTCCAGAGTTTCACAAGAACCAATCTGCAGCTGAAGCCTGTGAGCACAGAAGCTCAAACAGGTCTTAATTTGCAAGGGGACAAAAACCAGGATAGTCACTGCCTAGAGTAAAGCCTGCAGACTCTGGAAGTGCCAGGAGGGTAGATCCAGCTTGGTAGAACCAGGAGTCATTATCTTCCCAAGAACAGAAGTGGCTCCACAGTTCCCATCAATTTTGCTGGCTTGCTAGGAAAGAAAAGTTACAGACCAAAGTGGCACAAGAGTTCAGAACAGCCCGTGAGCCACAAACAGCCATGTGGGGCACTGACGGCGGAAATCAGCAGAGGCAAATTTGTTGCATAGAAGCCAGTAAATTTGAAAGGAATCGTTGATTTTTTTTTTTTTTTTTTTTACTCAAAATGATGGATTCTACTATTGCTGGAGAGACAGAATTTGAAATACAGTAAGTTAAGAATACTTCCAAGGCAGAGTTACAAGGCAGATAGTTTTCTAAGGGGAAGAACTTGATTTCTAAGCTCTGAAGTGTTTTCTATGGCATTTCTAAATTTCCAGAAAGTGTTCATACTTAATACTAATACTCCCAGCACTTGGGAGGCAGAGGCAGGCAGATCTTTGTGAGTTCAAGGCCAGCCTGGTCTACATGGTGAGTTCTAGGACAGCTGGGGCTACAGGGAGACCCTGTCTCAAAAAGACAGAAGACAGAAAAGAAAACTAAATTCAGGAGTAACTTTCTAAAAAGGCTATTTAAATTAAAATTTAATTCAGTCAAGGCTTGGCCAATCTGTATTTAAAAGACATAGAATAGATTACTGCTACTATCCAATAGAAATGAGACGACAAAAAAATCATCTTAGAAAAAAAAAAAAAAAAGAAAAGAGAAAGAAAAAAATACTAATACATTCCACTTAACTGATTTTTAAAATGGAGACTTTTTAAGAGTTTGATGACATCTGCTAACAGTCACATGGACAAATCATTAATCCACAAGAACCAGAAAAAAGGAGCCAAGATCCAGTAGAGAAGTTTCTATGGGAGCATGGAGTTTTCCATTCAACACTTGGGCTGTACATACAATCTCATGGTCAGACTTTCTTCCAAATTAACCAAAATCCAGGAAATTTCCCAAATATGTTAGAAGTAAGTAATCCACAGAGCATGTAAAAGATTGATTGCATGTCATACGTTGTTACTTAAAGCTGCCTTGGGCTGGAGAGATGGCTCAGTGGGCAGTGCAGATGTGAGGACCAGAGCTTGGATCCTCAGAACCCAACTAAAAGCTGGGTAGCTGTGGCAGCCACCTGTAATCCAGCATTCAGGAGGTGGAAGCAAGGAGTCCCTGGAGCACACTGGCTAGCTAGACAAGCTGTGTCACTGGGCTCCAGCTTCAGTGAGAGATCCTGCCTCAACAAAGAACAGCACTGGCTGTTCTTGCAGAGGACCCAGGTTCAATCCCCACCACCCACATGGCAGCTAACAACCATCTGTAACTTCAGTTCCAGGGGAACCGACACCCTCTTCTGACCTCCACAGGTATTGCATGATATGGGTGCAATTACATGCAGACAATACGCTCATATACATAAAATAAAAATAAAAAATAAATATTTTTAAATAACCTTTATGGTGAATAGTCATATGTGAGTAGACAAAAATGAAAATAACAGCAACTTCCACTAGTGAATGAGTTACCATAGACATATAAGTGGTCTGATTTAAACCCCCATCACCACCATGAAGTCTGCATTATTTAACCTTGAGCTGCAGGCACAGCAGCTCCATGACCAGCAGCAGGCTCTTTACACTCAAATATAAGGGTCCACCAGGCCTCTGTCTTTAGGGAGACACAGTGACGGAGGTGAGCAGAACAGAGTCAAGCAGACTAGCATTTTGATCATGTCTCTGCCATGTAATACCTGTAGTGATTTGGGACATGTTATTTTAATTTTTTAAGATTTATTTTTCTTTTCAGTTACAGGTATATATGTATGTCTGTGTGTGGGTATGTGCACCTGAGTGCATGTGCCCTTGAAAGCCAAAGGAGTTGTATTCCCCTAAGAGCTGGAGTTAAAAGGTGGCTGTGAGCTGCCCAACATGGGTGCTGGGAATTTGAACTCTGGTCCTCTGAAGAGAAGTAGTCCAACCCACATTATTTTAATTCTCCATGTCTCAGTTTATGCATTTATAAAATAGGTAACAGCAGCTCTAAGGGTTACTATGAAAGGTACAGAATAGTTGGCAGGTAGAAAACTCTTCCTGTTTACCAATTAAATCTTCCCACTGGCTCCCCCAGCCCAGCAGAGCAAGTCTCTAGGTAACAGAAAAGGACACCTCAGCAGGGCCCCTGGCACACTACAACTAAGAAAACCAAGGGCAGAAAATGAATGATCCAGCAATTACTCGGTGATACGATGTTCCAAAATGGGTTGACGGCCCCGTCTACTCTCCAACTCTGCCTCTTGGTTCTCCTCTAGTTCCTTCTACAAAAAAAGTAGAAGAAATCTGGAACTGATTTAGAAACTGCACTAGAATTACCGGGCTCTGCAGTAAACTCTCAATCAGTCACTGTGGAAGGCACTGTCTGAGAACCACCATCCTGCTGGTGAAATACGTGAGGGAAGAAAGAGAGCTATGGAAGAGAGCTACACAAATTAAGTGCAGTTACAAAATGGCACATCAAAGTGTACACAGCAGGGCTTAGGCTTTGTTTTATTTTTTTATTTTTTTATTATTTTTTTTAAGACAGATCTCACTGTATAGCCTTGGCTGGCCTGGAACTTTCTATGTAGACCAAGCTGGCCTCAAACTCAGAGATCCACCTGCCTCTCCCTCCAGAGTGCTGGGATTAAAGGCATGCCTGGCAGGGCTGTTTTGGAGATGGAAGAACTTGAGTATCATTTAATTTAGACAACCCAACTTGGCATTTTACAGAAGAAATAATAAAGCCCCTGTTAGGTTGAGTGACTTGTAAAATAAGTTGTTGAGGCACATGGAGTGTTATCACCTATCTAGCAGGCCCTGGGATCCTAGCTAGCTTTCCGCACTCCACCACCCTCCACCCAGCCCTAACGACCCAATACAACAAATACAACGTGAATACAACTACTTTAATGTGAAAGCAAATCCAGGAACACCGAGGCAGGAACACAAGAGGCATACTACGTCCTTCACAGGACACTATACAAACAGAAGAGGAACTATGACGCCTTTAACTAAAGGGCGTTTGTTCCAGGAGTCCTAAAGAAGTCCACGCAGTGCCTCTCCTTTAAATTTCGGAGAGAGCATGAAATAGCACTCAGTCCGGCTTAGTTCCTTAATGAATAAATGACCACGTCTGCTTCAGGAAACCAAGGACTACTGGATAAAACAGGCCAGTCTTAAAAGTATGTGCTGAGGGTTCCCCTAACAGGAGGGCCTATGCATGTTGTGGCTTGGCGCTTGACTTCTACTCTCTGCAAACACAGGATTCTCTTTGCTTATCAGTAAAACTGCTGAGCACCTACTATGGATCAGGTCCTGTGTAGGCCCCTGGATAAATGTGCATGAACCAAATTAATACAATTCTCTCCCAGAGAGAATTGAAGAGTCCAAGGACCACCTAGAGTCCAGAGACACAAAGTTTCATAGGCTCTGTGGAGTTTTAGCAAGCACTGCACACAAGGGAGATGAGGATGGTAGCTCTGCAACTATTACTAATAGTAAACTGGGACCTTCAGTGGAGGTGGGAAGCAGCATGACTGTAGGAGGGACCAACAACAAAGGCTCCTCTTCTATGGATTAAGTTGACCCAAGACCTTGCTCTAAAGGAAAGCATGCTTTCAAATACATAGGAATGGCTGATAAAGAAATACAAGGCATACCCAACTGCATCAGTAATACAAGCAATAGTATGAGTAACATTTACTGAGCGGTTACTATAAGCTGCTGCTATTGAAACTCCTAAGTCATTTAATCCTCTGGACTTAAACACACACAGAGACTTTAAATTGGCTCTCAGGTATACAATACTGAGTTAATCACAAACCTTAGACCACAATAAACTGACTGGGCCAAGCCCAGCCTGTGCCTATTTTCTAATTAGTTATTGTTAATTACGTAAGTATCCAAGAACCCACCAGCAAGACAAAATTAGGACTTTGACAACCACCTATAGCTAGCCATATAATCCCCCAATTCGAGGTAATTATCATCCCATGTTCTTACTCTTCAGTTTGTATTACAACTCTCTATAAAATGAACTGCCGATGTGATTGTGATTTCTGAGCCATTTTTCACCCAAGGCTCACGGTGGTCTTCCCTGCTCACTGCATGTATAACTCACACAGAACGCCAATGCTGAAGTGCTCACTGTCTGTGATGGGCATTCGTTTGCTTCCAGATTTCTGCTTTTATATACAAAACTTCATGAATATTCTTATTTATGTGCATAATCATACCCAAAAAGGCAAAGTCACTCTCGGACCCCAGGAGTAAAACTACACTGTACAGTTTACAAACATCTTACTTGAGAAGGTAAAGTTTGTTGGGGTCCATCTACTCACATGCCCACCAGCAATGGTCCTGGGGTCCATCTACTCACATGCCCACCAGCAATGGTCCTGGGGTCCATGTGTTCATCAGAACTCACACTGTCAGGCTTCATTTTTGTCATCAGAAAGGCATCGATGGTAATTTACTGTCTTCACTGACACTTTCATGACCACCAGTGCTGCTGAGGACCTGTGTCTCATACCTGCCCTGTGTGCCCACTCTTCAAGGAAATGCCGGGCCAGCTCCTGCCACTTCTACTGGGAAGTGGAGAGTTCCACCTGATTACAATGATGAGCATGTTTTTACTCTAATGCTCTTCCAGTTGTCCATACTGTAACGGCTTCTTCCAACCCATAACCTGTCTTCACTTTGTCTAAGAGTGCTGAATAAACAAAAGTACTTATTTTTAATCAACTGCATCTGTTTTCTAATGAATACCTTTAATATGTTATTTAAGAGATCATTTCTTGTCTCTGAAACTCTTTCTATTATTAATTTTAATATTTCTATCCGGACACTAAGGTTTCAGTGTGCTCCGAGTTGACTTTTTAAACATGGCAAGAGTTTAGATCGCCCTGGAACAGATTTTCCTGCCTCTGTGTTCACGGTGGTTTCTCTAGCCTAGAGGATAACGCAATCCTCCTCTGCCATGCCCCAGGTCCTGCAGGGCTGTGAGTCTGTGCGCTCTCTTATGTGTTGCCTCATTTACTTCTTAAAGGCCATAAACCGCATAAGACCTGATGACAAAAGACGATCATCCAAGTCTGTTTCTAAAGGGTCTTGGCTTTCTTTGTCACTTTACTTTGATACAAATTTAAACATCATCCACTTTCTCAAAAGCTTCTCTACAGAGAGGTAATTCAGCAGACCCTTCTGATGTCATCTTTCTGTGGTATAGGTCTTCCCTGATTATAAACTCACCTATAAATCTAAAATACGTCTTTGTAGTTTTTACATTATGAAAATGGTATTTCTTGCATGCTATGTTTCCTTGCAGTCATGTCTACACACTAGCACAGGAGACTTTCATATATCAAAGTTACATTCAATCTTTGCTAAACTTTCATGTCATTTCTAGTAATATAGGTGTGAATTATTTCTGGGTTTTGATATAAACAATTATATCATTCAATAATTTAATTATCACCTCAATCTGTAGATCAGAAAACTGAGATATAAACACACTACCTACTGAAATCAGGATTTCAAATTGGTACCTGTATTCCATGATCACCATAGTACTACAGTGCAAGGGATGGAAACAATTTCTGGAGTATTAGTCAATCATAAAAAGAAGGAAACGATGCCATATTCAACAATACAGTTAAACATAAAGGATATTATACATACATAGGGTAAATGCTGCATTGTCCTACTTATCTATAGAATGAGTTATTTATAGATGTCAAAGTCACAGCAGCAAGATGATAAGTTACCAGCCATCAAGGGGAGAACATGAGAAGATGCCACCATGTGGGTGCTGGGAACCAAACTCTGGTCCTCTGCAAGAGTGGCCAGTGTTCTTAACCATTGAACATCTCTCCAGCCCCAGTGCTTGGTATGTTTTATGCCACAATTTGAAAACAGTTAAACAAATTGCCCCACAAAAAACACACACAGTAAGTGGTAGAACTGAGATCCAAATCTGGGCATTGTGACACTTCATTGTTTTTGTTTTGGGGTTCTTTTTTGTCTTATTGACATGGGGTCTCCCTGTAGCCCCAGCTAGCCTGGAACTCGCTACATAGACCAGGCTGGCCTTGAACTCAGAGAGATCCACTTCTGCCTCCCGAGTGCTGGGATTGAAGGCATGTGCCACCACGCCCGGCAACACTTCATTATTATATTACAATTTTTTTTCAAGTGCACGCAACACCCAAATAAGGACAGAAAACTAAACATTATTTCCTATTTTTATACTGACGAGGACAGGGCACCAATGTCAACACTGAGCTACAAAGGAATCGTGTATTTGAAGACAAGACTTAACTATTTAATTCTTTACATTTACCAAATCTGATAGATTTCTCATTTTTACATAATTTCTACTGCTTTCATCAAAGGATTAAGTCATTTTTTAAAATCCTGTCAGAAAATGCCACTTCCTTTTCAGTCAAAGTCAGGATTTTAGAAACATCTAAATGAACGTCAGGCACTGTAATGACATGACAGCTAACACACAATTGCAGAGGACACAGACAAGCTTTCAAAGTTAGGCATTTGGCTGGGGAATGACAATTCAAAACTCCAAGAGTGCTGCCAGACTGTTTAATGGGCAGGCATTCGGTTTAACTCGTAAAGAAAGGGATTTAAAGAAACATCTTGGCCTTTCAAAAGTAATGAAACACAATTATTTTCTAGCATCAGAATTTTTTCCCACCGTCAGATTTTTCATTTTGACTTACTGCCTGACAGACGCTGGTGTTTCTAGTCTGGGTTATTCCTCCCACGAAGACCACGCAGGTCAGGAAAACGTGAAAGCACAAGTTCACAAGCATGTGCCAGCTCTTGACACTGATCCGAATCAAGCTGTTGGGGACGGGGGGACACGAGCAATCAGTTCAGAGCAGGGTAGCAGGACTCTGACTTGCCTCTACAGGTTAATTCCAGCTGCATTAAAGGTCCGTTTTAAATGCTTTATATATGAACCCTTTAGTAATCAAACATATATCATCAGTGCACACATACACATGCATGCACACGTTCTGAAATCATGTGAACTATCATTTCTTACTAAACCTTATGTATTAAAAGACAAGCTATGTATAGAACCAAGGAACCCACTAAAAGCTAAACAAATTGTCCACAACCATTCTGATTATGGGTGACTGCCACTAATGTCTGCAATGGCTGGATGGCCTGCCTGGCTTGCTGCAGCGTGCCAACGGGCTTTGTCCTGACCAAGCACAATGATGTGGTTGAAACACTCAATGCATTTCTCCCTGGCCTTTTGTAATGAAATGTTGAAGTCTCTCTTTTATTTATTTATTTTTTTAATATCAAAATCACCTTTTGTTTCCTAACTAAATGTCAAGAAATGCCATACATGTCCAACTTAAATAGGAAACTGTTTTAGCACAGCCTTTTATAAACTGGATTTTTTGCTTAGCAAATCCTTTTAGGTCCTTATTTCTAACCAAAATATAAAAGTTTCCGTAGCTTTGCCTCCAATTAACAGAAGCCAAATCCCATCCTTAAATGCCACCAATTTTCTTAAAAATGTCATTTTTAGAAAAATGTATACCACAACAGAAGAAAAAAACATATGATACAAACACCAACAGTCTAGTGTCTGGAGGTATCTCAGTAGGGACCCCTGGAGGCGGTAAAGTTCTACCCTCCTGCAGGCCCTCTTGCTCCTGTGCCTACTCCTGGTCCTAATACCTACCTCTCTTCCAAACACAAGCCCATGAACCTGGGAAGAGGAAGACACCCTCAAGAGAACAGGGAGAGAATGAGCCAATTCTCTGGGGACAAAGGAAGCCCTTACTGTTTGGTATTGGCTACTTATCTCTCAGATGGCATGGAATGAAGGCTGTGTACATTTCATGGTAAACATCCTTTGTAAGGACACCTTATCTGTGGTGATTTGAATAAGAAATGTCCCCTATAGGCTCAGGTATTTGAACACTTATTCCCGGGCTGGTGGTGCTGTTTGGGGAAATTTAGTGTCACTGGGGGCAGGCTTTGATAGTCCACAGCCTCTCACACTTCCTGTTCACTCTTTGTGCTTTGTGTTTGTGGCTGAAGATGTGACTGCTCAGTTTCCTGTGGTCCCCTGATGCCGCCTCTCCTCTACCATTGTGGGCTCTTCCTACAGTGTTTCACAATAGTAAAAGTAACAAAAGTAACAGCATCATATTTAAGTGTGCAATGCAGTCCTCCACAGCAACTACACAGATCTGTAATGGCCAGGCGTGCTCTCACCTGTGATGGTACATGTAACTGATGATGACGGCCAGGAGACAAAGGAGGAGAATGATGGCAGTGGTATAAATCACAGGATGCAGGAGACTGGCAGCCGGCATGTACAGCTCTGATCCTGTCAGATCCTGAGGGGAGAAAAGAAGGTCCGGCCAGGAGCACTGTTAGAGACATTTAACCACTGGGACTTTCTCTGGCCCTGGCAGCTCCGTGTTCTAGTCCAGCACTAATGTTCCTTACTGGATGCCTTCCTGCCTGGCACTGTGTCAACTACTTATGGCAAACTTTCTTTTTAAAATTTATTCTTTGGAACTTTTATACATGTATACATTATATCCTGATCTTATCCATGCGGCCCTCCCTCCAACTGACCCCAGATCCCCCAACACACATCTTTTCCAAATTCATGTTTTCTTATTTTTTTAAATAACCCACGGAGTCTAACATTCCTATTCAGTCCTGGACTGAAGCCTAAATACTGCTTGACCATGAGAGGACAGAACATGTGGGAAGCCCTAAGGGACAACCACATACACCACTCTAATGGCCTTTCACCCACTTAGCACTCTCATAGTCACCAGCCGAGACAGCATGGCAGAGACATCGTCTCCAGGGCAACACAGCCATCAGAAGTCCAGTCCAAGTTCCACAAATATGAACAGAGCAAACACTGTACAAGATGTGGTTCCCGCTCTTGCATATCATAGCCATAGGGGCGAAAGACATACAACAGATCCCAACAATGCTTGCACTCATGGGAGCAAAGAGAGCCCTGGAAGAGCTGAAACCCAGTGACAGCAAACCACCTAGCACTTACCACAACCCAGGCACTGACTGCTTAGTACTGTATCCAGGGCAGCCCTGAGGCTGGTATATGATTAGCCCCATTTTGCAGCTCAAAAAACTGAGACCCATAAGTTAAACACTGTGGGGACTGGATGACCCAAAGGAGCTTGGCTGCCAAGTGTGTATTTGTAAATTCAATATGAACACTATCTCAGTCAAAGAAAGCAAGCATCTTAGACCTGCCTTCACTGGTATAAGAAACATTAAAAGATTAGTCTTTGCTTTCAAAGCTGTAGAACTTTTGGTCTACGACAAGAAATTCTAACATTTTAGTCACACATACACACACACACACACACACACACACACACACACACACACACCCCTATATAGCTATATAGATAGATAGATATACTTACCCTGTAAGACTTGTTTAAGAAAAGACCCTGATGCATTCTTAGAACCTGAGGACCTGAGACGGCAGATCTCTTCCACACTCTTTGACCAACCCTCTTTCCCCTTACTTTGTGCTAATTCTTTCAAACTAGCTAGACTGTAAGGTCAGACCCCAGCCAGGGGGAAAAAAAAACAGTATTCTTACATTAGGAATAAAAACCTATCAAACATCCAGCTCAGGTGTACTTGCTGAATCTGAACGACAACTCGAAGCATCCTTTTGCAAAAGCAAAAGCTGCTTTTAGCTGTGTGTTCTTTGTGTGGTTTGGGGTGGGGGAGTCCTTAGGCCTCAGATTTTATTGGTAAGTCATAAAGGCACCTGTACTGTCACCAGGTTTACACAAGGGTCAAACCTGTAGACCTCCTTGGTCTTTTCACTACATTCTTTCCCCACCGACTCCTAATGGTACAAAGGGGTGGTTGGGTGTAGGAGGGAATTCACAGTGATGTATCCACGTCAATGTCTGAAGGAAGCAAAGATAGGTGAAAAGGGAGGGTAACCACTGAAAACTGGGCAAGGAAGGAGAAGACATCCTTAGGGAGTGGGAAAATTCCAGGAAGGAACTGGAAGCCAAGAATATAAAACCATAGCTTGAAAAGGATGGTATCTCACCACCTTTAACAAACCCAACACCTGAACAAAAGATGAATAGTTAACGACAAAAATCAGTTAATGGGAAGCTAGAGACTGAGCACAGGAAATTGAATTCCAACTTGACTGCTCCACTGCACCATGACAAGCTCCAACTTGCGATTCATCCATTTACTTGACAGCCATTAATTGGGTGCCCACCATGGCCAGGCACGGTGCTGAGCAGCAAATGTGCATGTGCAACCACAGGCAGGGCAGATCCTCGGCCCTCAGAGGACTCAGGGAGACACAAGAACTCAGCACACAGAAGGAAAAGGAAAAAAGCCTCACAAAGCTTCTGCAGTCTGCCCTCGTAAGGGGCCCACGATAATGGTCCCCAGCACATGGCCTTAAAGCATACACACATTCACTAAGTCCAGAATATTAAGAATGTTTTTAAATGTTGAGGCAATGAACATCAGCTAGACATGGAAAAGAAAAAAAAAAAAAAAGGACAATACTCCTTGATTTCTCTGAAAAGTGGCCATATCAGTACAGAATTAAGGGCTAGGGATAAACTTTCAGTATCTTGGATAGAGCCTCCAGCCCACTCACTACCTGTTTTGGATTCCTGGAGGAAACAGCACACCGCCACTGAGCAGCTGCATGAATTAGGGTGAACATCCTGGAAGATGGAGTGGCATCAGCATCTCAAAGGGTGTGGGGATAGACAGGAGGGTACACAAGTGCCTCCCATAGTCCTAGGCTGAGCTAAGATCCTCGAAATAACCCAATTTAGCTCCCAAATGATTCCAAGGAAAAACTGAAGAACAGCACAGGCCAGAACTCCACCCAATCACAACAGACTCTTCTCCCACAGGAGCAGTGACCTAGCTAAATGCAAAGAGAGGCCTTTTGGTAACAGACCGAGAAGAACTTGGGAAAAGCCACACTGTAAATAGACAAGGATCTGTAGGGCAAAAAGAGAACTGAAGCTTTTATGCAGGTACAGATTAATCAAGATAGAATCATCGAAAATTTAAAGGTCAATGATGGGTTTGGATTTATGGCAGGTCCATCACCCTGGTCCTCTCGTAGCCAAAAAAAAAAAAACTTTTTTTTTAATCATACTTAGCTTTTCAGAAATAAAAAGAAGCGCAGCTTGCTAGATTGAGCAGAGCAAGAGAACGTAAGAGTCACAGAGGCAAACAAAAGTAGGTTAGTAAAACAGCAAAGAAGTTAAAGAGCGACACACAAGAAAAGAAATGAATCAATGATGAATTACAGCAGTGAAAGCAGACTCTGACATTAAAAACACATTTTGCAAAAATGATACGCAGAGAAGACAAAGTAAACCTATTATTCCCTTTAATAAAAAGATAATTAGAAAGATAGAAAAAGGTCCCACCCCACACCACCCCAGTCCAAGGCTAACGGTGACCTTCATGCTTCTTCCTGGCAGAGAAGTGAACAGAATCCAAGCAGTAAATGAAAAAATAAAGTTTTCCCCACAAATAAACTGGAATTCCTACACATGGGAGAAAAGTTACAGAAATAGTCACCATTCAGGTTCCTAACGAAACAGATCATTTATGAGAGCAACAAGAGGTACTTCAAGCCTAACAGTGCTATATATGAGATCAATGGGAATTTTTAATTATTCACTACCATTATACCAGTAAGAATAACTAAAACCCATGGCTACTCAAGTTCTCCAGGATCTGAACAAGGGATGCACTTGGAGGATGGTATCTCAGGGCATCCTTTGTATGTCAGAATATAGTTACACTAAAAGCGGGCCAGTGAAACTAATTTTAAAAGATCTGAAATTAGAAATGTAAAGAAAAGAGCGGGGCATAAAGAGCAGACCATCATTTCTATGACACCTTTTCCATTTTTCTTAAGAAACAAAGGGTGATTTCTTTAAACCTCCTCTTTCTTCACACAACACTCAAAATTAGTGTTGGCTGAATTATGGATCTCTATGTGGAAGGGAAATCACACTAGAAGACCTTGAAGAAAATGAAGATGAAGAGCCTCATGAACTTGGGATTAGGCTAAGATTTCTTAAACAGACACTAACTACAAAAAAATAAATAAATAAAATAGACCGCAACACAAAAACATTACGGGAAAGGGGTGAATGAGAAAATTACCTAACAACAGAGACCCAGTGAAGAGCTCGTATTCACAATTTCTATCAAAAATCCCTTTAAAACAGCTCAATTAAAATCAGGCCAGGATTTTGTAAGGGTTTCACTAAACTGTCAAAAAGAAAAATATACATGGGGCTGGAGAGATGGCTCAGCACTTAAGAGCACTGGCTGCTCTTGCAGAGGACCTGGGTTTAATTTCCAGCACCCACTTGGCAGCTAACAACTGTCTGTACTCCAGTTCCAGGGGGATCCAATGCCCTCTTCTGGCCACCATGGGCACCATGCACACAAGTGATACACTTACCTATATATAGGCAGAGCACTTATACACACAGAGTTTTTAAAAATTAAAAAGAAAATACATACTGGCTCAGTATCTTCAGTCACCAGAGTGTCCAATGAGAATCACAACTGTGTATTACAATAAACAATAACAGCAACAAGAAAATAAGACAAAGGATTAGCAAAGATGAATAACAGCTGAGAAACCACTACTGCTGAGACAAAACTGACGATGGCCACTTGGTGAACCGTGGGGCATTAACACCGAAGCCGAGCATGTAAACAGTCTACCACCCAACAAGTCCACTCCTGAGTACGCACATCCAATGAAAAGCACGTGCATCAACAGATGAGCAGCTTCCTCTTAATAACCAAATGTCCATTAGCAATCAAATGGACAGATTTTAGTATACGCACTCCATGGACTGTGAAAAAGTATAAACTGTTGCTATGTGCAAAGACAAAGACAAATCTCACCAGAGTAAGGATGAGCAAGTCCAGACACACAGACTGTGCACACACTGTACACTCCACACAGGAGGAATGTAAGAACAAAGAAAACTTATCTACAGTACAAGATGTCAGAAGAGTAGAAGAGGGGGAAAAAAAACACTTTTCGTGCTGGGACAATCGTTGGTGGCTAACGGACAAGTCACACATAGAACAGCATTGATGCAGAATGAGGTTTGACCAATAGTAAAATTTAATGAGAAAGTAGAAATAACAGCTGGTCCACAAGGACCAATTTCATTTTGGGGAAATTTATCCTTTAGATAAATCATTAAGGGGCTGGAGAGATGGCTCAGTGGCTAAGAGCACTGGCTGCTCTTGCAGAGGACCCAGATTTGATTCCCAGCACCCACATGGTGGCTAACAACTGTCTTTAACTCCAGTTCCACAGGATCTAACACCTTCTTCTGACCTCAGCAGGCACTGAACCATAAGGGTGCACTTACACACATGCAGGCAATACCTTTATAAAAAATAAATAAAATACAAAAAAGATACATCATTAAATACACAAAGTGACACTATACAAGAGAAACACAAAAACAGACAACAGAGAAAAATCTAAGAAATGATAGCAGGGCCACAGAATATGCCTCAGAAATTTAAGCCAAAAAAAGAATGTCAAAGCTCTTCTTTTCTCTCCATAGATCCTCACAGTGAGACTCGAGGTGCAGCAGAGTGGTCAGAACAGTGACTCTGGAACCAGACTGTCTAAATTCAAATCTTAGTTCCAAAACAAACCTACCTCCTCCGTTCCAGACCTGAGGACAGAAGTCAGTGACTATACTATGCCACAAGACACTGCAGGTGCCGACATGTAAGTGCCTACTGAAGACCGTATACCACTCTGCCTCAACTTTCCTGGCATGCGTCACGAGCGCTGTAGTGAAGACACTGGTCCACAGAAAGAAGCACAGCTTACTTATGGTTTGTTTCAGCACATGTGAGCATATATGTACTTGGACACCAGAGGTCACCATCAGGACTATTAAACTACTCTCCATGTTTTATTTTGAGACAGATTCATTCCCTGAACTTAGAACTTGCCAATTCAACTAGCTCAACAGGGATTACCAGGGATCCTTCTGTCTCTGCCCCACTGGGGCTGAGATTACAGGTGGCCAGCACTGTACCGGAACTCAAGTCTTCATGCTTTCACAGCAAGCACTTTACCAGTGAGCCCTCTCCCCAGGCAGGAAGCATGGTTTAGAACGGCATATTCAGCAAGCAAGCTTTGTGTCAAAATGAGAGAAAAGAGGACTGCATATTCATACTGTTTCAACACAGAAAAACCACTTCAATATGCAAGAAGCTATTAATTAGAGTTTCCATAAATGAGAGCTGAGGAGAGGTCAGATTTTCACTATTTACTAATGTGCAGAAATAATTAAAACATTTGTTGCAGATGAATTAACAATATTTAAGCCAAAGAAAATGACTGGCATTTATGGTCAACTATGAACTAAACTAAGTGGAACTGTAGTTTATTTCACTCAGCAAGCTTCATATAAACAAATCTGCATGCATCATCACACAGAAGAAAGCAAGGAAGCGGCCACTAGCCCTCCGTCCAGGCAAAGGTGGAGACAAAGGTGATGGAGCAGAGACAGCACTTTATCTTCACAGCCATGGCTGACTGAAGTATCCAGCTGGACACAGTCTGGCCCTAATCATTACTGATTTCTATTCAAGTTCCTCCCCTACTGCCAAGAGCTCCTGTGACTCTTCCTATCCCTGCTGGCTATTTCTGGTATCAATTAAGCAAATCCAGCTTCTGTTGAACTTTTTTCTCAGGCACCCTCAGAGCTCAGATGTAACTGAGTACAGTAGGATAATCAGAACCAACCAGTGTCTACACTGGACTTAAGAGCAAAGGCAGTTTTTGTATTTTATTTTTTAAAAACCACAATACTCTCTAAAATTGGGTCAAAAAAAGGAAGAACATGGACTAGCTCCCAAGAGATAGGGACATTCAGACATCTACACTGAAGACAAACAACTCTGGGGACTGGAGAGATGACTCAGCAGTTAAGAGCACTGACTGCTCTTGCAGAGGACCTGGGTTTGATTCCCAGCACCCACATGGCAGCTACGAACCGCTCTTAACTCCCATTCCAGGGGAATTCGACGCCCTCTTCTGACCTCTGCGGCACTGCACAACACGGGTGCACTCACATACATGCAGGCAATACACTCATACACATAAAATAAAAATAATAAAATATTTTTTTTTAAAAGCAAAACAAGTCTTTATTAATAAACGTTTAAAAGAAAAAAAGCACTGGTTTCCAATTTTAAAAAGACATTGCCTATGTCCTTTGAAATTTTTTTTTACATTTTATTTTGTGTGTCGCGCACGCATGTGTGCCACAGCATGTGTGTGAAGATCAGAAGACAACTTGCAGGATTCAGTTCTCGTCTTTGATCAGGTGTGTTCCAGGAATCAAACCCAGGTCATCAGGCTTGGCAACAGGTGCCTTTACCAGCTGAACCACCTCACTGGGCCCCCATTACCTATTACTATCTTCACCTAAGTTTAATTACTAAAGAATGGGTTTTAGTAGTAGTTCTGAGGATTGAGCCCAAGGCCTCACACATGCTACTGAGCTACACCACAGTCTTAAGTGACTTTGGTTGTATTAACTGCCTTTCTGTTAAAGAAGCAACTCTGAATTCCCCATATACCTTAATATAACAACACTCCAACTGTCAACTGTGTGTTCCACGCTTCTGCCTCTAGGTGGCAGCTATAGCTAAGAAATGGATTAGAATACTCTGAAACCAAATGAAGAAAAAAAAAATCGTAGCCCTATGTTTTAGTTTTGAAAAATTGTGTTTTGAGTTTTTTAAAAGATTAAAAGTCTTAAAGATAAAAGAATAGCTTATTCCTTCTAGGAAAGGATTACACTAATTTAAATAGTTTAGAAGAACAGCTATGAAGTTCAAAAATAGATGCTTTAAACTAGCATTAGATTAAATAAAAATTAAAGCATCACAGTAAAGCTTAGAAAATGCTGGGTTTTTTGTGTTTCATTTATTTTGCTCAACTTTTACTGGTTAATAGTATATACATTTCAGACATCATTGTATCTCTTACTGTTTCTCCTTCAAATGCTACACACGTAGTTTTCAGTTTATTTTATCCTCAGAACTAGAATGAGAAAACGCCTTTAAGCCAAAAGAGAAATTGCCTCGCGCTAATTAATGTTTTACACTTTAACTTAAAAAAAAATCATTACATTTTATTTGTTTATCTTGCCTGCTTGGGGGACAGGGTGCAGGGACCACAGTGCACAGGCAGAAGAGGACAACCTGAGGCAATGTTTCCCTCTTCCACCATGTGGTCACAGGGTTAGAACTCATATCTTCAGGTTTGGTGGCAGGCACCTTTACCCACCGTGCCATCTCGCTGGCCCATTAATCTTTATGCTTTAATGTTACAAAATGGTGAAATGTGAATTGAAGAAACTGGACTCCTTGTGAAGAGAACCATAATAATCAACAGCAACTTTAAGTACAAAGGGGTAAATAATCTTAAAAAAACGAAGCCGAGTCTGTGTGACAGACTCCACCCACCACCATCAGGTATCAATAATACGCATGTTCGAGTAGACAACTTCATGGGCAGTTCAAGCACACTGCCTAGACTTGTATACAATGCTTCATGATGTCACAGAAAAGATAATCCTAATACCTGCGAAATCACCTACCAACTTTGCTGCCTCATCAGCCAAGGGACCTGGAAAGGTATAGAAAACTGAAAAGCAAAGAAAATAAAGCAACCGGGGGGGGGGGGGGA